ATGGTTCACAGAATCTGGAATACAAGATAGTTATGTGTTTTATGCTGTTTTGACGACAACACATTTGAACAATCTAAAATTGAAGTCATCTACAATAATTATGTATACTGTATATGGAGTAACACTGGGGTTAACAGCTATTTAGTACTCTATTGTTCTCAATGATCTTTTATCTGATGTTAGCTCATGATTTTTCATATTATAATTACTTTTTACATCAGGTCACAGCAGTCATCATTCTTTTTTGTATTCAACTATTTCGTGAAAATATTTTGAATCAAGTCCATTTTTTCAGCAAACGTTTTCGTGAGATAAGTTTCTTTAACTGTTTTTATTACCATCCGATTTTATTTGCTGATAAGCTGAACAGTTAATTAGCTGTAAAGCGTTTAAAGACGTGGTTCGACTTTGGATTAAATAATTTTTTCAACAATATTCCATGGATTATGTAAGAGCTAATTTTTATTCATGGAAAATAACGTAACGACCCCGTATCACATACACTTCTGAAGTTTTTTACAAGTTGTCTAACGAAATATTGTTATTCGTTTTGACTCAGTGAAGGTAAATTATTCGGAGACTGAATTTCTGATAGACAGTTTGGAGAGATAACTAGTCAACTAGTAAAGGTTTATGTGGTTTTGGAAACAACTTAATATAATGAAGTCTATTCATTCTCAAAGAAGAAATCGTTAGTTGAAGACGTCTTCTTCGCAAAGCATCAACACACAAGAAATTTAGGTTAATAAGACCGTTGTTCGATATTTACCATATTTTCTGTTAACAAACAAAACAGTTGAAATTTATTGATTTTAGTTCTACCATGATAGATGTTTACTAAGTGAATTACATTGTAATTGATCACTAAAATAGTAAACTGGTGAGTTGATCATTCATGTAAATACCAGTACACGTTTTTTTTATTATAACATAATTAAGTCGTCTCCATAAAAACAAACACAAATCTGTTTACATATTTTCTGACGAAAATAAAAAAAATCGATTGCGTAGACATTATCTGATTTAAAGGTCTATTAAATGAGTAAGTTTTTTGAACATTTTTAAGTAAAGTAAATAAATAAATAACGTATTATGGTAATGAAATTTACTTCAAAATAAAAATTGATTAATGAAATACTTCTTTTTAATTCGTACTCCATTAGGCCTCTACACTAATATATAAGATTTAAAACTTAATAGAAAATCGATCGTAGAATGATGTTAGTGATTGAATTTAACAATATAATAATCAGTTAGTAACAAAAAAAATTCGGAAATTAAAACTTAATTGAATTTGCATAAACAGTTAAAATCTTTCCCATTATTTGTTCGCTTCATTGATGCATAATGCTCCTCTAAAAATGAATTAAATGCTCTAGCGCCTGTAAGTGTATCTTACTTCACAAGTGAGATTATAGGAACTTTAAATGTTTAACCAATTACTTGCTGTCACTTTACATTAACACTGTCACTAGTAACTCTAACAAGTTTGAATAATTTCTAACATGAACAGTGGTAAACTTAACCGGTATATTTTGGCAATCATTGTTTTGTTGTTCCGTGTTCTCTGCTTTAATCTTACTTTCTCTAGTTGTAGATATTTATCAATAACTCGTACTGGCACTGGAAATAACCTTAAAGAAAAACGTTCATAAATCATTAGGCTATCCACTTAAGAAAAAATTAAAAGCTCTCTGCTGATGCATTGGATTGCCGTGATACATGTCATAAATAAACTACTTAACAATTACTGAACTAGCAAACATAAAACAATCTTAAATCTCATGTTTGTTCTCTACATTAAATGTTGCTATTTATATCAAACTGATCATGCCTGTAAACTGGTGTGAATTCTGTTATTATTATTTTCAGAATATATTATTATTATTATTATAAATGTTTTGCGTTATCTGTTAATGCGTAAAATGGGTGTAATGAAAATAATGTAGTAAGATTATCAGACTAGTTACATCAGATTAAGATCAGAAATTAAAACGTTAACACAACCAAAGTTTGAAAAATTTGAAAGATCGAAAATAAAAAAAATTAAGAAAAACGCAATAGTTGAAATTTATTTCCACCTGACCACCTACATGTAGGTGCACTTTGAGCTGATATTATGAACTAACTCCTCGAGATAGTAGGGCAGATTTGTAGGTCAGGTTAAAGGTTGTAGAAGAGTTTCGTTCTCAGAGTTCGATTGTTAAGTAACAAAGATTTCATTGTTCCCCTGAATAAATTCGTCAGGACCTACCTAGAGTTTGTGCTGATGTTATTTAGAGGAACTATGAAAACTTTGTGACTAAGCTATCCAGGTCAGAGAACAAAAACTTCTACTCTTCCTGATTCATTATCTGGGAAATATTAAACTTCAAATTTATCCGAAGACTGACTTTATTTGTCAGTCCAATATTTATTTACATACTATGCTTCTTTGCTAATTTCGATCAAATCGAAAGTTCTTAGTAAACTTCTGCAAATCAGTCCTTACTTTTCAAATTTATTTATTTCACGAGATCGTCTTTCTGAAATTTAGATCTTTTAACTTATTTAATTTTCAGTGTGTCAAAACGAATGACAGTCATTTATTTGACTGATGAATGTTATTTTGTTAAACAACCTATACGGATTTTGAAACGTACGTGATTTGATATAGTTATGTTATTTTTCGTAAATAAACATTAACACTTACACTATCCATTAAATTCGAGTTCCAGCTGAATTACATGTAATCCAGATAAATTTAAATATATTAAGATAGTTATTCAGCATATACGACTCTGTATCTACCTTCTTTGTTAACTGAGATTCGTAATTGTTATATCAAGTGAGTGCGTGCCTGCCCTGTTTAATATATGACGTGATAAGACCGCCAATTAGAAAGGAGTGAATTATCGATCGGTTAAGTGATACACGAAAACTGTATGAGCAGTCCTGAGTACTTATCAGTCCTGCTTTCTGCTTAGTTCAGCCAGTTAAGTCCAGAACACCAATAACAGCCTCTGCAATATGAATCATTATTCTCAAACATACTGGGTTTATATACCAAACAACCTGATCACATCGTACCATAAAATAGAAAATAACATTTGTACAAGATTTGGCCAAATGTGGCTGTGAATAGGGGGAACAGTAATTAATAGACTGCGATAACTCAGGAATGGTAAATCGTACAGTAATGGTCCATGGGTCAAAATAAAGCTCATAATAAATGGTACATTAATATGAATACTTAAATTACTTAACAACTATACAATAGGAAATACACATATCATATTGGCCCACAAATAATTCTCAAAGTTACCACTCATAAATCGCATCGAGATATAACAGTAATCTATGTATGTCTATGTCTTGATGTGGTATATTGTATTGATTTACAAATGCTCCAGGTTCCATATTGATTTTTATTGACTGCCCTGAAAATTTAAGGAAGTCATACTTTTTCAAACACTTATGTTTAACTAATTATCAGCTGGAATTGTTCTTATTATTTACATTTTAGATAAATATCTGAGTATCTAAGTAAAGACTACAATCTACTGGTAAATAAAAAGACTAATCGTCATTGGGAACGACTATTGTTCATTGGTTTTAAGTAACTTTCCTCTTTAGACTCGTTACAGTCTAATTGTGAATATTTGTGCCACGGTTATAGTAACATAAATTAATAATGAAGGTCCCGTATATAGATGATATGTTAGTTTGTTAAAAGCAGATTTAGTCGTCTAGTATTATTATTTCCATATTTTTACACTTATTCGTTAAATGGTTTGTTGATGAAAACCCTTCTGATTTGTCGAAAAACTTTAATAAGAGGGATCTATAGCTAGTTGCCTTAACTGAATTACTTGCTGATCATATTGTTGGGAGTAATATTCAGTCCGAAGTTGTGAACCCAAATTACGAAATTAAAGTCATGTATAAAGGTAACATTAATTATGTAGTCAGTGAAATTATTCGTAGTACGATATAAAGAAACATTTAAAACATTCGGAGTGGTCCCATCAAATTATAAAAAAGATTAAACACTACAGTCCATAGCGATCACTGTAAACAACATTTGAAAACTTTTTTTCAGAGCATATTGCTATTAAAGGGTCAATATATTCAAAGTTATATCAATAATAATTCCTGATGAACATAACCAGTGCCTCATAATTTCATTTACTGCCTATTTTTCATATTTCGTATTTAAGAAAGTACGTGTTTTAAGAAAAATAATTCAAGTTATCATGAATTTGAAATGTAACTACGTTTAAATGAATATTTTCATTCACTGTGTTAAGTCTGATTGGGTTAAGAATCGAATGCTACCCAGAGGTTGTCAAGAGTTATATTACTGAAAATGATCTGTAACAACTGGATGTAATTTAAACATATCTGGTTGGAATTTCGGTTGAGTTGTGGCAAATTACTTGGATATAGTAAATGTCAATAAAAGTCTTTCGTCTTATCAAACATAGCCTGATTGGTTCTCATCATTGGTAACGAGATATTATCCTGAACCCAATCAGTAACGCAAACAACTTTACAGGTGTTAAGTAAATAGTAAAATTAAGATCCCTTTTTATAATTTTCCAGCGACTTTCTGATCACATGAAACACGTTTATACTCTAAAAATTATGTGATACTTAAAATTCTTACTTTTAGTTTGTGCAAAACTTACCTCAGGATGGAAATCGATTATTCAAAGTATGATTGAAGGTGTAGACATTTAAAAGGCATAAAATGGTCGGTCAAATGTGATTGGGTTTTAGAGGTAAAACACTATATACCAGAAGCTTCAAACTAAATTCTCATGGTCATATATAATAAAAGTTAAAAATTTACACTGACATTTCGTTTATTATGTTTGAATCATAAAGTTAAAAATTTAAGCATAAAAAAGGCAAGAGTTATCTGAAGTTCGTTTCAAAAACGTACACAGTTATGAATGTATCTTAGGAATGTTTTTGCTTGGAGGGACTAAAATGTGTACATACTTGCATAGAAGTTATTAAACTATATTATCACGAAATTGTTTAGAAGTAGAACTGGACTTTGTTAAAGGTGTATCAGGAAGAGAGGGCCATATATCAGGTAGGTAACTTGGCGGCTCATTTAAAATGTTTGTTATACACTCATCAACGTTCTCCTCGTCAGATTCGCATAGTGAAGATAGCATGGTGTCTAAGGTATCTTCAGACATATCCATTTGTAATGCTTCCTTATCGAACTGTTGAAGTTGACCAGAGACCTTCGTTTTGTCCATGACCTAAAATTAAGGAAAATTAAATGTCTTTTAGTTACACGTCTTAAATAACCGTCTGTATTTACTGAATTGACTTTAATGATGATATTCCTGGAAAGAAGTTTTGACTACACTAAGGTGTTTTGTCAGTTACAGTTATTCATCAGTAAAAGATTTAATTGTTGAGATAAAGCGGCCTTTTTTCATGTAAATTCTTATATTTATTAATGCTATTTGCAAAGTAACATTAGGAACTTAAAAGTTAGTACACCTAAAGCCAATAAAAATTCACAGGCGTTTAATCAGAAACAAGAGTGAACCTGATTGCGAATATTTGTAGCTCAGGTGAATGATTTTGATGGAGTTTTGTTCTCTGACCTGGATGGTTTGGTAGTAAAGCTTTCGTATTTATTCTGAATGACATCATCAGCACAAACTTCAGGTAAAAGTGAAGTGCTCGAATTTCTCTACATATGGCTCACAGCTTGTCCTGTAGACTTTAGTGTTAATTGGTTATTGCTGACCTTTAACCCGTTATTGTTTACTTCTTCATTTTGATTGTATCTCCCATTGATTTGACTTTCGGTTCTATATTTGTTCATAATTTTTCTATTGGTTGATAAACTTGATCGATTTTAATGTTTGTTGACCTAAGTGACAAGCTTCTAAAAGTTCTCCGGTGTTTTTAGAATTGCTTCTATCCAAGATTTCAACATTTTCCCAGTCAAATGTGTGTCAACAGTTGTTCACATGCATTGATATAAGCTACAACATGTCACGAAGTTTGTCCGCTAATTGATGTTTGTGTAGGTGAAGATGAAGAGGGAGTCCGCTTTGCCCGATGTAGTCTTTTTCACAGTTGGAGTAATTTACTTTGTGGACGGCGTTCGATTTTTCTTCTATTGTCATTTTGTTCTTCATTTTGCGTAACAACGGTTGGAGCGATTTTGTTGGTTTGTGCGCTACACCTATTCTAGAGGGCCTCAACAATCTCGTTGTAACTTCAGATATACCTCTTGTACATGGTAGGATGATCCGTTTGTTTATTTTTGTGCTTGATTTTGTTTCCGATGATGAGTTTGCTTGGTGTGTGACACACTGAAACACATTAACAGCGCGGGAAAATAATGAAAAATATCTTAATATTGTCTTTCAAGAGATCAGATACCCAATCTACTTCATCAAAGTACCAGCCTAAAATCAAATCAATGGAAGATACAATCAAAATGAAGAAGTAAACAATAACGGGTTAAAGGTCAGCAATAACCAATTAACACTAAAGTCTACAGGACAAGCTGTGAGCCATATGTAGAGAAATTCGAACACTTCACTTTTACCTGAAGTTTGTGCTGATGATGTCATTCAGAATAAATACGAAAGCTTCACTACCAAACCATTCAGGTCAGAGGATAAAACTCCATCAGAAAAGGTTGAAACTCCCTGATGGAACTAAATTATCAGCTATTTATAGTAAAAGTTAATCTTTTTTAATAACAGTCAGAATCCTTAGACTTAAAATAGTCTAATAATGCCTAAAGAAGCTCTTATTTAGATAATATATACATTTTTCCGCTCCAGGAATGCCACTTTAGTGGTTAAAATTTTTCTTGTGTTAGTAAAAAGATAATTTTAAGTTTGAATAGCGAATTATGTTTTAAAAATTGTATTTTTTTCTACGATATCATTTATTAGAGTTGTACAATCATGCTTACGGCTATTTCCCATATATAGCGGTCTGTAATTTGTAACTCCCTTGAATATGGCTGGCTCTGAATATTATGTTTGGGTTGTGGATTCAAAAACTTCACAGCTAATTTCCTAGTTGATTAGCAGAAAGTTGATTATGATTGATGTTGAAAAGCAACAAGCACTTTACTAAAAAAATAGAAATATGTAACAAATCCCGTTACTCAGCTAATTTAATGCCACGTATTCTCGTATAAACTGAAGAATCACAATACCTAGATTACTGTTTTTAAAACGTTGGAGATGGACAACAAAACAACTATTTTTATAGTTCCACCACGTGATTGGGTGATACTACATTCAGCCTTTAGCCAACAACTAACCACCAAATAAAGGCACAAAATGACTTGTATGTTATGACTGGAATATATGATCAAGATAAGGGATCGATTTTTCGGTCCAATTAACGTATCAAATTTAAAGGTTACTACAGTAATGTAACTGAATTAATTGATACCTTGTTGAAATTTTGCATGGTTTTCGCAGCCGCTTCAAGTGATTCACCATATTTGGCTGCGTACAGTGAAGATGTTTGTTTTCTCTGCACAATGTTCATGTGATCTGCAAAACGAGAATTTCTTGACTTTAGAGCACGAATCTTTGTTAACTCTTGTGCTAACATAGTACAAGCTGCTCTGTTGTTCTTCATAGCAGCTCTTCTTATCTCATCTTCTAAATCTTTTTCTTCCCTTTCCAATTCAGTAATATTTCGTCCTATCGACCTCTGTATAGCTTGATTATCTTCTTTTCCTTGTTTTTGAGCTTTTTTGAGTTTTTGTATTACCACAGATGCCATTAGTGTATCTAAAAAGTTTAAAGTACTCTTCCGACTGTAATAATGTGATAAAAATATTATTAATATTGCTATTAAAGCTGATATTAACAAAACGGTGGGCCGAAAGCCTGAAAAGTAAACCAACTTTGTTAGAATTCAACCATATAGGCGTCATTTTAGGGACAGTCACTAAAAAATGTTGTTCGTTTGAAAGGGAAAGGGCTCTCATAAAAGTTGTAATTAATTATCATACGTAAATCTACTTCCAAATGTAACTGAAAGCAAGAGCAAGGAGAGTTAGTGCCAAATTTTATTACCCCTTATGAATACTTGAAATTTGATGCAACATACATTCGCGATTTCATTCTACAACATCCGTTCTTAGAACGCTGTGGCCATAAGTTACCAAAAGCCGGTAATGATTAGTTCTGGAACCTGGTAAATAACACTAGCGGTCTAAACTGTATAGCATGAGGTCTGATCTTACGGAGTTAATAAAAGCTTTAGGATAATGGCTTGTTGGTGCACAAAGTTTAAATACCCCTTGGAATTTAACAGTGGTGCTTTATTTGGGCTTCGAGATATTTCCCCCTAAATGAGCAATCTACCTGTACGATTATAAATGTAAGTGAAACAAGACAAAGTTACTCAGTTTTAAAGTAATCACGGAACTCAAATGGAATGGAACGTTTGGATATCAGCTTTCTCTATAACTCCTGGATATGTTTTTATCGACGGCTTAATAAGTACGCCGAACAACTGTCATAAATAATTAGCCTAATACGTTTTGGAAACTATATGTTGAATATTTGACTTTTGAAGCCTGTCAGGTCACTAAAATAGAGCTACTATAATATCCAGAGTCATTTGTAAAGTCAAAATTTTACCTATCGAAATGAAACAGTCATATTAATCTAAAACTGCTTGGTTCCCTGTTTTCTGACACAACTGAGTTTGCTAAATAAGGCTTAATGGTGCTAGTTAAATTAACAAATATATCAGAGCCTATATCGGTATGTTTTGGATAAATTAATGTCATCAACTACAGCCAAAAAACCTTTGACAGTCAAAATAAACCACCCATTTCTAAGTTAGTTTTAGGAAATCCGCAATTGCTAATATACCAACGTTCCGCTCCAGTTACTGTCCAGCTTAAAATATATCAATAAAAAGTATTGAGGGTGGTTGTACACATGGAAGAGAAAAGTTAGAAAAAGTTAAGTATGTCCCCGTTTAACTGTGGGGTAAATGTGACAACGACAATGTTAATAAAGTGACTTTTATATGGTCATCTAATCTGAATATATATGGCGGTTTCTCGGGAGCCAGTAAAGATGCCTGAAAATTTTTCATTCGTAACCAAGTTACATAGAAGACTTTGGAAGGGATTCAGCTGAAAATAATGTCTCGTTAAATAATCATTAAAAACATCTTCAAGAGAGCTTAATATCTCATATGTGCTAGCACATGTATGTCACACCTGAAGAACTAACTTTAAGGTATCGAGAATAAGGTTCTCAAGTAATTTATCTGTGTAGGACAATGTCTAACTTTTTATCTTTCCATGTGCTTGGTAGCATTAAAAGGCCATTTTAAAGCCATTGCCGAGGTACGACTGAAAAAGAAACAATTTAAAGCAGCATAAATTTAGTAACAGAATACTGAACTTAGAGAAACTAATTAATTACTTCTTTTGTAGCGAGAATTGATCCTATTTATGAAATGGTTCAAATGGAATCCTTGAATCAAGGTCGAATATGGTTCAAGTGGTTCAGAATGTTGAAAATCTTTTTCTTGAAAACAAATACTTAGGATGCTTAATGATCTGAACTTTCCCGTAATAGTTCAGCTTTAAATCTTGAATGATCGAAAGTAAGGCTGCTGACATTTGCTCAGATTCAAATTGCAGTCAGATTCTCATCAAGTGTAAGCCTATCATTCCAGTTGTTAACCTCTTGCCAAAGTTTTGTTTACCAGAGTGAGATATTTTGTGTGCCACAAAGTGAAGAGATTCAATTAAATGAGAGAAGAATAACAGGAGTTCAAATATAGGGGACAGAGGGAATCCATCAGTATATCCTGAGGAACAAATAATCTTGAAGATATGACTAGTATTCTAATTTTAGAACTAGCTACCAGTAACACCTTCCGTGTATGGAGCGTTCCCCAACCAATCGAAATCAGAAGTCAGATGCGAAGAGGTAGGAAAGATATATTTGATGCGTTATCAATATTTCGAGAAACGTCTACTCTAATCTGGCTAGTGAACGTATGAGCTGTTTCCCACGCTGGGTCGAAACGTGATCTGGTACGGATGCATGACCGAAAGCCTTCAGTTAAACGAGTCGACTTAAAACAATGTGGTCAGCATCCAATGTCGAACACTTAAAAATCTACTCATGTTGGGGAATTATTTACATCTACAGTCTGCTATGATATCACGTAGTCAACCACTTTAAAGTAATTTAAGGAATTCGACAAACTGTGATTAAATTGCGATGCGGTTGTAACTATTGGTAATAACAACATAATTGGGTCAGTCAGTTGCTTTCAAGAAATTGAAATACATTTGATGGTTCTTACATTTACAATCAAGGATATCGTTCTAGTTTGCTATTAGCTAGTCAAGTACTTCATTACTAAAATATCTGTTGAGTATGCATTTGAACCAGCATCTCTGTTAGTCACAGACTTAAGTTTAAACGTTTGGATATAATGTTCAACCAGAAGCTCTGGTAAATATGTATTATAGTTATCCAGGTGATTAGGTTTTTGTAATCAAGAGACAAGCTGGTTTATTAGAAAAGAAGTCGGTCAACGAAATAAGCCCAAATGTATTTTGTCAATAGTTTTCCATTTAAGCGACCTGAAAATGTGATCGCTGATGTTTTCAGGACATCTAAAAGTCTTAGTAACTGATTGTGGGTCAGACTGATTGACAGTGTCTTCAATAAGAACTTCTATTTAGTATTTATTTTGAATCGAGGACAGACCTTCAAGCACACTAAGTCAAAATTGATTCAGTGCTTAGTGCTCCAGAGTCTTTTGTTCTCGCGGTATTCTAGTTCAGTCTTACGAACAAACTAGAAGCTTATATTGGCATGATCAGCAAAGAAGACTTAATTGTGATTACAAATTGATAAATTTTAGTGGATACCTTTTCTCACTGCGACGGCTCCTACTTGCTTCTTCAGCGTCTGTGTCCAGAGAAGTTGGCTCTTGCAAAAACTGAAGTCTCAGAATATTGAGATATGAGTAGGCTTCTGCACAAGAAAAAAGACGTGTCCATTCAACATCTGGTTGTCGTCCCAGACATCTATAATAGCCTGTCTATAAAGAACCCCAACTTGAAACTCTTCAGAGTTAGACAATCCGATCGAGAATCATATCGATTTGTTATGTCTAGTAAACGATCAAACCTAAACGTGATGTGCCATTGAACGAGAACCTACTAACTGCACAGCCCCATACCTTGCACTGGCTTCCTTGTTGTTGTAATGTAAAGGCTAGTACCTAGCCAATACGTTTTGAGGACTTCTGGAATACCCTTTTATGGTTAGAATATAATGGATTCTCGGGATCTATTATCTGAAATTCTGCAGTATAATACAAGATTGAGGTCCACGGATGTAACTAAGCAAATGCTGAGTATATGTGGCTTAATAACGAATCATATTATTGAGCTGTCTAGACAAAAAGATCTATGCATCACATGATGTATTGTGAATTTGTTCCTCCTGTATTCATCTTCACTAAAGAGGTTACGGCTCTAATTTCACTGAAGGAGCTGACGAGAGTTGTTTTCCTCGTACAAATATTTTTTGGCTTGTTCATGTTTGAACTAGTCGAAGTGCAATGGTATCACCTCTAGAGTGAGAAGATATGGTAACAACGTATTTTTCCGACAACGTCTCAAATAAACAATGAAAAAAATTTAAAGTTCTTTACGACTCAAGCTATCTAAGGTTTTAAAAGACTGTGATTTTCCACTACTTGGTTTCTGAAAGTCAATCTCAGTAGTAAGTGGTAGTACTTGATCAAACAAAAAGATTGCATTTATGGTTAACTTACGTAGCATAAATTCATTTGCTTTATTTGTCGATAGACATCACAAAGAGTCAATACTTTGAATTTGTAGAATTATGGTCTACCTCACTATAAGTACATTTATCTTTGTTATAATAATAGACTTTACTTCAAGATAGTAGACTTGTCATGATGTGACTACCTAGTCGATAGAATCTTACGCGGAAGTTATATCGTAGTCTACGCTCTCTCTCCCTATCGTGAAAATCAGCCACATAACGTCTAACATTTCTGAAGAACACATTTTGAGCTAGTTAGAAAGTGATACATTCAAAACAAAGACTGAAGGTTATACAGGGTGACCACGTCCGCGTGGCTGGACCATACCATACGGATCCATTGAAGTTTTCTCGTGTTCACAATTACCAACCTCCTTCAAGTGTTATATGTTGAATGTTAATCTTCCCAATAACTATATGTTCAGTTTCGAGAATCATGCTTAACCGAAACCATAACAAATCCACAATGAATCTGGTTTCATCATTAGCTACCTTGGGGACGCATCTCATGAAGTTATCTAACTATCTTTTCAATTAAACCTCTTCATGAGGTGCCCCCAACATAAGCAGTGTAGTCTGTGAGTGCAAGCGCCTTGTTAGGAGAGAGCCTTTCAATATACAACATATTTTGACATTAATCAGTTCATTAACAATCAGAATTAATACTCGTTTCAAAAGTCTAGTTATTCGAGATGGTAGATCTCCTTGCCAAAGACGGAAGAGTGAGGCTTATTGATAAAACCGCACATCAGAACGAGTGGAACAAAATACAAAAGCCGTGGATACTTTATTTGGTCCAATAAAATAGATACTGAATTCACCCACTTAATTAAAAAATGGTAGATAGTGACCACTTCTCTCTCATAAAGGCCACTCGAAGAAAGACTAAACCGCAAACATCCTTTGTAAAACCTGTAGGTTTCGTATGCTTTGGATTACATAGAAGTGAGGGACTCCTATGCAAGTACGTATGCACCAGCCCACATGAAATACTTACTTACGCCTGTTAACATTCGTGGAGGAGCATAGGCCGCACACCGGCATTCTCCATACAACCCTGTGCAAGGGAATCCTTTCCAGTTGCTATTCAACCTTTTCATATCCACTTCTATTTCACGGCGTAATGTGTTCTTAGGCCTTCCACTTTTTCTGCTTCCCTTCAGCATTCCAAGTTAGAGCTTACCTCGTGATGCAGTTTGGTGATTTACTCAATGAATGTCCTATCCACTCCCAACGTCTTTTCCTAATATCTTTTTAAGCTGGAGTCTGGTCTGTCCTCTTCCATAAAACGCTGCTGCTGATAGTATCAGGCCAATGAATTTTGAGTGTTTTGCGTAAAATCTATTTATAAATACTTGCATCTTCTCGACGATGGTTGTAATAATTCTCCACGTTTCAGCTCCGTACAGTAGGACTGTCTTGACGTTCATATGGAAGATTCTCACTTTGAAATTAGTTGAGAGGTGTTTCGAGTTCCATATGTTCTTCAATTGTAGAAATGCTGCCTTTCCTTTGCCCATCCTTACGAAATACTCCAACACGTATTTCAAATAATAACAAAATGGCACGAAACCCTTCTTATAACACCTAGCGCCAATAAAAATCTTTTGAACAGGAAACCGCCACTTACTCATCTATATGTTCTATAAACCTGGATGAATTGTCATTTGAACTGGCCAACCAAAACCCTTGTATTCAAATGGTTATGAGCAACATAATGAACTTTTTTAAGTAACCATGTTCTGTTATTTGTTACACACGTTAATGCACACTCTTTTTGCAGTAAAAGGACGGAAAGTATGACAACTGCCCGGTTTACTAATACAGAAATCATTCTACTAAAACAAAAGTTTTGGTCGTGTAAAATACTATATGCAGATTTATGTATAGATGACTACTTACTGCATCATTTTAACTGTGGTCACAATAAAGGTAGAGGATGTATTGTCTACGTACATGACACTATCAATGCGATAAGTTTGGACCATAGTATACTGAGAGTGATACCAGAGTCGTAATAACCGGTTGTATGCAACATTACTTATCAGATACTTGCACGATATGTGTGTAGGGCACTGAACTTAAACCTGAAACAAATACGGCAATTTCCAGAGTTTTTACATATGATTCCACACTGAAAGTTGGTTTTAAACTGGCTGCTATTAACTTCGCCTTCACTGAAATAAATTGTAAAACAGGTATATAATGCTAGAGATGTGAAATATTTAGCAATGCTTTCTCAAACTTGAATTAAGAACAACTTGCTGACCTTACTTACTTGTACTCTGATGACTTGCAGATATGCTATTCATGCCTCAGAGATGAAGCATGTAAAACAACTAATTTCCCACAGTAAAAATTAAATAAGGTGGCAGTATGGTGTAGAATGTACCGAATTCAGTTTAACCGATGTAGCTAGATTAATACCGGATGCAGCAACCTGTAACCCCATTGGCATGTCAGTATCCGAATGTGATATTACTTTGAACCTTGGCTCGTAACATTTTACGTGATTATATTTTGTTTTCCTGTTGGTTGTTCCCTTTAATTTTATGAAATTTACTAGCGGAAAATTCTTCATTCCTGTTAGGGTTCTATTAATTCGACACCCCAACTTGGGGATCGACGTCATACATTGAGTTAACTATTCCTCACGCTGTCCACCTCTTTTCATTAATTAACGTTAATATATTGTCTTTTAATAAATATTGAATCTCATCCTACGATAAAATTTTGTACATCTAATATGTTATAACAGTCTCTGTTCACTTAATACAAACCTTATATTTACATTACTTCCAAATATGTTCAGGTCACCTAAAAAACATGTAATCTCTCCTGATGCCTATAGCACTTAAAAAAGATCCAAATTTGTCACTAAAGCGAGTAATATGAAGTTTTATAAATACACCGATCAGTGTGCATCATACTCTGATTTTCCTACAGCTACACTAGACGTTCACCATGTATTTAGGCATGACATATCACTACCTTGCATCTCGCTTGTTGATATAAATAAGAGCAGTCACATACCGTTTGAGTCGACATCATTTTGGAGCCCACCCAAAAGCACCACCTGTTGTGGGCGGTATTTAGACAGTCCGGCTGACCACAAATACTCAGCAAATCCACAATCAGCCATCCTGCGTATCGGCTGACGGAATGCATATAAGCCTGTTTACAAAAGCCGGCCCAATGATGTAGATCTTGATCACTCACCAAGACATATACTCCCTTCCTCAATTAAGTATGCATAAGGTGATCAAAGTATCTATCTCCCGGTAGCTACTTGCAACATGTCTGTGTGCAGTCATATGGACCCTAAAAATGTTGATATAAATTCCAACAATCTCTCCAGTGGTAGTTTTGAAAGCAGTCAAATAGAACTTAGCCTCCTCAAAACTATTCAAGACCTATTCCTGGACAAACATTTAATCAGTGTTTCAGAAAATTCTGAACTCGAAATTAATAAAAAAACTGAAAAAGTAATTGACATGTAATTTAAAGTGTTAAAAAAATACAGTGTATGCAGAATATCAGTGTGTATAATATACTTCATAGTACGAACATAAAGTTTACTAAAAATACTCTGCTACAATAGTGTGTGTTGTCACAATCATGATGTGTAGCAAGAAGATTACGTAAAGCACAGACTAAAGCCTCTTGCTCCGTTTTATTTCAGTTTTTCAGTAACACAGAAGCCAATCGCTTCCCTAATAATCAGTCATTATTGAAGCGTATTCCAGCATTTAAAAGATTCGAATCATCCATACAGTGTCGGATCTTCATTGAATTGGAAACCAATCAACCCAGCCAACATAGTATCGGCAGTTACAACGTATATTGCACAAATCCCAGAACACCATACCCTGCCCCTCCCAAAAACGGAGGCACGTCGCAAGCCGCTATCGGTCCTAGGAACAAGTTCGCACATAAGCTACCCCAAAATGCTCACCCACTTATCCCTCAATATGGGACCGCTGGGGAGTCCTATAATAGGACGAAACGGCGGTCCAGTGTTTCCAGGTTTTCCGTGGTGGTCTAGCTTCAATTGACTCACGCTTTCAACAATGATAAATACTAAATTTCCACAAAACCCCTTCTATAAATACCTTTGTTATTCACATTAGAATACATAGGTAATTATGCATTGATACGTGTAATTAACACATGTGATTCATCTGGGCTCGATTCACCTGCAAAACAATCAAATGGAAGGTATGCTTCTGTCTCATACTCATTAAGACAATCTTCCATTCGATTAGAATTTCTTGTCTGTGTAAACTTAATATCTGAATAAAATGGTTCTCTGATTGCTTCTGGAAAACTTGCTGTTCTCTCTGATCTATCATACCACGAACCAGAGATTCTACTCAACATGCATTCTTCGTGAGAATATCCAACATCTGATACACTAACATCATGGGTGAAATTTTCCACAGAACAAGCATTTACCGAACTTGCGCTCATCTTCGTGAACTGTTTCACAACTCCCCAATGAATTGTTATCTGAATAACCTTGATTACGCATTGGACTGCGACGACGTAGTAACGTAGTGGAATTCCTGATGTCCTGACGAATCATCTCACTGAATTTTCGTTTTTTACAGCAATCGAAATTTGTACACTTTACATGGTCTAGTAGTAGTCCCTTGAGAGTTGTGTAAGCGAGTGAAATCAGCTTGTCTGGAAATGCCAAAGTCTTTATTAGGCTGTATGCTTCTTTTCTGATGAATGTAAGGAATCGGGCCACAATGTTAACATCCTCGACATCTTTCTTGGTCAAAGTTCAGATTACGAAAAATTTCCATTTAGTCCTTAAAAGCATCAAAATCTGAATGTATGTCCAACCGTTCAATCACAGGCTCCGCCACGACGCCAATGTGATAATTAGGAGTATTTGAATTGTGGTACAAATTAGGAATCCCAGAAATAACGCAATTTAATGAAGAATGTATTGTATTTCGTATTCGAAATCAAGCAGTCATCAAATACAAAGGAATCATTGGTTCATTCAAATAACACAGGAACCCAGCACACAATTCAGGCGGTCAAAAGTCGAAAATAAAGTGGGCTTTTTACTTTAGATGGATGAATGCTTGAAAATTACACATTAATAAACAGCTGAATTAGTCAATATTTTATTCTCTACATCATCTCTCTCTTGATGGCATAACTGTGAGGATAGCCCACAGGTGAAGTGAACTCTATCAGAGCCTCCAGAGGTTCATAAAGAGCCCCAACCAATCAGCGATTAATTAGAAGCTATGCTACTAAAATAACGAGATCCTGATTGGCTGTTTAACATACGGCTACTATGGAAACTGAAGGTCTCCTAATTACTATAAAACCCCTGTACTTTCTGTACATGAATGAACCTTGCAGTAAAGTGTTTCTCTCATACTCGTGTCTTCTTACTGGTGTTCAAGTCGCTGAGTAGTGCTAGCCGTGGGGTTATCGAAATAGCTTAGGATCTGAATAAAGCGTTCAACCTACAAGACATGACAATAACTGAACTGTTAGATTTTTTGTTTGAATAAACACGTATTTAACATATTTTAATGTAGGAGAACTAGGTTTTAAAACACTTCGAATTAAAATTATCTGATTATATAATAAGAGTTTTGTATCAATATTGTGTGCTACTTTCCATTAAGACGTCAACCGAAGTTCACTAGGACTAAGTGAAAATCACTAGTTAACAGATATTGATTATTGTTTTACTGGTTATTTTTCAACCGTTCATCGATATTAACGACCGTAACCTTCAGAAGAAATTAACTTATTAGCATTGAGACAGTAGAATAAATTCTACACTTATTTGCTCAGAGATAATTGGTTATATTTTTTAGTCTCTGTTGTGTAGGAATTTTTCATAACATTTTGAATTAATATTGTTTGCGGTGATTTTATGGTTATCAGTTTTGCATTCATGTTGTTATAACTTCAGTGATGTCCCTAGTAATAAGTCCAGATGTTATGGATTGGAATGTTCTTTCAACCTAGTTTGTCAACAACTCTTTTTTGAAACGTGATTGCATAATAATTCTCGCTTGTTCCGTGCAGCAGATCTATGAAATCATTCTTACAGACCATATATATACTTAATCAAAGTCACTTCGTATCGTAATTTGCATTATATTTTAAAGGAAAGCAATTAGTAAACTGATTTCAAAATTAATTTTATGTAGACAGCTACTCAGTTTTAGAATTAGACTACGATTTTTTATGATAACTCAAGTGATTAATAACAAGTTTATTTTTACTAGTTTCATTCATGAATTATCCATTGAGTTTCCTGATCAGGTACAACTTCCGATGATTCTATTTTTAGTATTTAAAGATTTTATCTTATATCAAGGTACACAAATATTTTTGACGTATGACTGCAAGTTTATCTGCAAAGAAAATTGGCAAAAATTAGATGTTTAGTAAGAAACTCTTATCTTAGGATAGGAACTCACTAAATATTTGTTGAAATTTGCATTCAGTACTATTCGGTACTTCTAATTTTCTAATGTTAGATAATATTTATTAACAAGCCGAATGTATCAAAGAATATAAACTAACTTCGTAGTTGGAAAACCTGTTCACTGTTAAACTAGTATTCAGAGAATAAATTGTATGTCTTTCAGGTTGCTCAAAATCTAACTGTCATAAAGATAAATTTAGAGTTTGACTCCTCAGATGAATAATTTTAACAATGGATTTTTTTTCAGGGCTATACGGTAGGTGTTTTAGAGTAATCGAGTGAAGCAATCCACTAAATGGTCAATTAAATCAGGATCATAAAACTTTATGAATCCAAAACCACTCTGTTTAATTTCATTTGTAACAAAAATATTAAATGCTTTTTGACCGCGCAAGCAAAATCTGCTCAAATGTGTGTCTGGAAGAAGAAATTGCTTTGATCACTAAGTGCCTACGTGAAAATGAATATCCGGCGAAATTCATCCATAAATATACAAACACCAACCCTCAAGTAAAGTATGATAGAGTGGAAAAGAAAGCCTGATTCTTATACTTAAGCTTCAAAGGAGATTAAACCGCTGGAATAATTAATCACAGACTTAATTCCGCGTTGAAAGCGACCTACCCAGCAGCTAAACTAACAACGGTGTGGGAAACTAATTGCTCACTCAAACAAACTGAAATCGACAAGTCCTCTTTTCTCAGTAACTCCAACTGCATTTACTAATTTACATGTACGTGCCAAAGCACATACATTGGAAAAACTGAGAGAAGAGTATACGTACGCATTTCTAAGCATGTTCCAAAGAAACTGAGGCTGTCGGGGACCAGGGCTCTCAACAATGCAATAGCTCGGCATTTACATGACACTGGGCACACCACTGATATTTTTCATGCTTTCATAATTATTAGCAGACAAAGAAGTACGACTGCTCTCCGGTTCTCCGAGTCGATCGCGATAAAAAAACTCGAACCGGATCTATGTATTCAAAAAGAGACAGTGACAAACTTATTACCAATCTGGTGATCGAATCTTTTTTTATCTTTTTGGTTATTAGTTTTATTTTGGTTAATATTTAGTTTGTATTATACTCTTCCATTACCCAATTCTTAAACCAACATTTCACTCAGACATTTCCGTTCACTTATTTCTCTTAAATTATATGAACTCTCCGAATTCTATTCAATTATTACTTAACCCATTCTATTTGTTTTTAATTCCATGATACCTTCATTGCCTCTATAATTATCACACCTTTGATCTTATCTGTCTTTGAACTCCACTCAACTATTAAGCTACCCATCCTTTATGCTTCCTTGATTCTAACACCTAATAATCTCTGACCTTATCATTGATAACCTTTTGTCATTCCAATCCTCTACATTCACTTACGTCAATTGCTCTACACTATTTATTACTCCAATGCTAAAATTCTAATACATATTTAGTTGTAAGCAGCTGATGAGGAACCACGAAATATAATGAATTCATATTATTCTGCATCAATATTCGTTCTCATAGTTGAAATCGTGAGTCAATTGAAGCTAGATCACTATGAAAAACCTGGAAGCACTGGACGGCCGTTTCGTCCTATTATGGGACTCCTCAACAGTGCGCATCCACAATCCCGCCTCGCGAGATTCGAACCCATGACCTGCCAGCAGAGCACTTAACCGATAGACCACTGAGATGGTCGGAATCCAACGGTGTTAATATCTAACTTCAACCAATCCACGAAGCTGAGCAACTGTTCACCAATTGTCTTCAGTTAGTTGATATCTCTAAAACAGACTTGGTTGAACTCCACTGGTTTTTGCTTCCTACTAGAACTCAAGGAAACATCCCTTACAGTTAGTTCTATCTTTATTTAAATTTATAAAGGGAACTAATTGCATGCTACTGATTAACCTATTAACAAACAATAAAATTCATTTATTTTTATCCTTAAAAATAAAGAATAAATCATTGAGAAATAGATTATTATTTCTAGTAAAACATAATTCACTTACATTCATACAGAGTTATGTAATTTTCTTAAAACACATAAAATTATGTAAAAATATATCATGAAAGTTTTATTACATGGCACTAAAAATCAACCTCATAAATGACACAATAAGTTGTTTTTTTCTCCCCCCCCAGTATTCATAATATTCCAAAATAGTGCACAAATAATCAATAATATGGAACTATATATTGAATAGTAAGTAATATAGAATCATTTGAAATATTACAGAATTAATTAACTAATGAAATGATTAGATAATTTTATTCAAATGATTGATCGATTGATTTATTCTTCTATTGATTTATTGATTTGTTTTTTTCAAAGTAGAACGAAATTATTGATCGAAATCGAAAATAAAAGAAAAAAAACAAACAAAATTACATAAAGGAATAAAATAATCAATCAAATAATTAATCATTCAAATTTAAATTATCACATATTATTGATTAATTTACAAGATATCATACAGTTTTAAATATTATTTATTTATTTATATTTAAATAAAATGAGAGAATATTAATACTGTTTTCTCTTTCTTCTTTTTGTTTGTTTGTTTGTTTTGTTTTATAAACATGAAAAATAAACAAAAAAACTCTTAGTTATATAATAGTGAGAAATTGAAAAAAAACAAACAAAATAAATGTTAGTTCATTGGATAAGACAATGAAAAATTTAAAAATGAAGAAAAAGAAAAAGAAGATTATTCAAATGAAGAGAAAAGAAAAGTATTAAATTACAGTAAATTTAAAACAATTCTTGTTTTTTTATAATTTTGTTTTAAATTATAAAAAAACATTTTATTGATTTTAAAAAGTAATTAAGAGACAATGTAGTTGACATTTATCATTTAGTATACGATAGATATCTATTTATTTGTTCGTTGCTGAAACAAAAGAAGATTGGCTCTATATAGAATTCAATGATCGATTGTTCTTTATACTACTTATAAGTTACTGAATTGAAATAAACGAAGATCAAATCATACTTTGGTATGTATACGTTGTATTTAAGGAAGTTTTTGTGAATTGTTTAAACAAAATCATTCACAAAATATTTAAATGATTGGTAGAGTTTTGGTTTTATTAAACTAAATGATCGAAGTTCTTGTATGTTTTGTGAAAGAAAATAACCACTGCTTTATACTTTACACTTTTTTGAACATATTGTTTATAAGTACGGTTACTGTTTTCCATGGAAATTAGAAAGTGTTTTCAACTACCATTTTTCATGCCATTTTTCTTTGTCAGTGAATCAATATGAGGAAAATGAAGAAGAAAAACTTTGTTAATAAAATAAAAACACACATACAAATTGGACTATTTATTTATTTGGCTGATTGATTTTCATCAGTTCTATTATCTGTTTTTTGATTTCCTACTAACACATCCACAAATTAATGATTTTCCTTTATTCTTTGATTTATTACTATTTGTTTTCGGTTGAACGATCAAAATCTGTTTTGGTTGATCTTTCTTCTTTTTACTTAATATTGACGTTATTGTTTTAGATTTTGGTTGATTTTCTGTGAAGAAAAAGAAAGGTTGGAAATGTAAATTGTATGTTAAACATAATTTATGTCTTAATTACTAAAAATTGAAACAAATAAACATGAGTCAATTCAATTTTAATACATAAACGTTCAAGTCATCTCTGTTTAAAATTGTGTGGTTAAATCAAATTTTGGTGACATGAAGCATAGTAGTTTCAACCTGATATGATGAGTAAGTGAATAAATCCATTGAGATGGAAATGACATACAAAATTGATTTATTTCAACCGTCTGTGACTTGTAATCATATCTTGAGAAGGAGTAACATTAAAACTTTGTTAGTCAGTCAGATATATTGATTTCAGAAGCTTAATTGTACGGAATTGTAAATGTTTGTTCACATTGTAGGTTAGTGATTAATTGACGTTAAATACTATTTCATTCATCTTATACTATTCTGACTATAAATAAATCATGTAAAAAGTAGTATATTTATGTATCATTTTGAATTATTAAGTTAGTTGAATGTATAAAGATATATGCAATCTAAAAGAAAGATATATAGTATCACTCGATTGGTATCACTTAAAATAGATATTTCAGTACGTGAAACTGTTATATCCCCTGGCGAATTGAGTTATCATCAGTCTATCGATTAATTTCCCCCTCTTCACAGCCACATTAACCAAATATTGTTGTAAATGTTATTTTCTATTTTTTGGTACTATGTGGTCTGTTTGGTTTGTATATAAACCCAGTATGTTTGTGAATAATGATTCACATTGTCGAGGCTGTTATTGGTGTTCTGGACTCAACCAGCTGGGCTAGGCAGATAAGAAGGGCCGATACGCACTAAAGACTGCTCATACGTATTTTATGTATCATTGGGCGTTCATATATAAAGAGGGTACATACTCATACCATATAACAGAAACATTTACTCACCATTATAGTGTACTTACTCTTATACATTGAACAAACACCCAGACTGCTCTAAAATTTCCCAAAGCATAGAATTTTTTCTGACCCACCTGATCGTTTATAATATTACTAGCCATTTTCATTTAGTTAGTGGATACAAATACCTAACATAAGTCTACGACTCATTTGAAGTCTACTGTTAAACTTGTATCAGCATTACTTGAAATGTAATGTTAAAAGTGCAGTTAGGATTAAGTTGAAAGTGTTAACTAGGTTTGGTAAACCATACACAGCATAAAATGGAAAATACAGACATTTAAGATATAGCCAAGTATATATTCAACCCACAGTTAACCAGTACTTTATTAGTATGAAAAATAAAATCAATGGTTATGTTTAATAATGATGTGATCTGATGTTCAATTGGAAAGAATTAAAAAGATAAACATCACCTTGTTTAAAAAACATGAACCCTAAAAAACTAAACTGTTTAGAATTTCATTTAGGCGGGTTTATTCAATGCTATTGTTTCACTAACTAGTAGACGTCATTCATTGTTGTGAACTTCAGCATAATAAAACGTTTTGGTTTTAGGAATTACATATGATCATAAAATGGCTTTGGGTTTTATTTTGAAATACGTTACACGAATTTTGACTCCTTCTAATTACTGGTTTACTTCACACTTATAATCCTTTATATAATGACCAGTTTTGAGTTAATTAAACGTTTGGAATGTTTAAAACTTCGAGTACAGTTGATAATACATTAGTAAGTTATCTTAACATCTAGAAAGCGATATACTTATCATAAGGTATTCAAAGTAAGCACGAAGTCAGTAAACGTTTTTTGAACAAGACGTTTGATTTTTAATGTTTTGTTCGGTTTTTAATGTAAATTACTTTCCAAGAAACCAATATATCTGTTTCGTTAGTTTATTATCTTTTTATTTTGAATTGTTGTAACAAGCTAATAAGTTATCAAATTTTAAAACTTGATCTGGTGTAAATGGAACTGTAAGTTGTTTACATTTATTGCAGTTACAAGAAATAGATTAAATTTGGTATATAAAACATGAAGTTCCTAGTACGGAAGTAAATAAACTAATTTTTCGAATTAATTTAGATGTAATTCCATTGGGTTACTGATTAGATTCGTTATATTTTTTTAATCAACTATATAGATCAGATCTTTGGAAGTATACTATATAATAATGTATGGATTGTGGTTTGATTGAATAACTTAAACTCTTAAAATTTGTTTAAATTCAGTATTAGCCATCAGTAAATAAAAAAAAACTGTTTCAAGAAAGATAGCCCAGTTCTTCTTCCATGTGTCCTAAGCAGATTATTGATTATGATGAAGTTAGATGTACACAATAATGGAGTAGAGATTTATTTAACTTAAAGAAAATATGAAAGGCGTTTTAAAACATCACAATAAAATCATGATTTAGCAATATAAATTAATTTCCTTATTTTTTAACGTTTACTTTATATTACTATTGATTATAAGTAGTTAAAAAATGTTTTTTCTGTACCAAAGCAATCGATAAAAATTGAAGTTACAAAGTTTTTCTATGAATTTTCTACAATAGTTTTTCATTGTGGACACTCGAAACTGATTTTGTTCAGTCTTTATTGTATGAATGAAATGTTGAGTAACAACAATAGGACGACTTAAACCTTCACAAATAAAAACGAACAACGTGACACGTGGAAAAAGTATGTGACTTTCAAGACTTAGCAAACAAGTGATAGTTAATCAACGTTTCAAGCAGTTACTCTGAGCCTTGGTGTAAATTACAGAATGAGATACAGATATATTGGGATGATGTGTTTCAAGGAGAATGAAATTTGGATTTTCCTACCAAACACCACCCCAAATATAATCACGAAAACTGGTCTGAAAAATATAAAGCTAAAGTCTATCAATGATCCTATCTTAGAAAATGAATATTTACACAATCGCTTAAGATTTACTTAAAAAGGTAGATAAAATGTGGAGCAATAGTGTTGTTAAAGGGTAATATAGAGCTATTTGGTCTATTATTTCCTGTTTCTAAGTTTCATCTTTCCATGAATTACTTTTAATATATATACAGTGGAAAGTTTATTTGCTAAGGAGTTGTTTACTATATGTTTAACTAGCTCATTTAGCTTTTCGGATAGTTATGTAACCTAATCAAATCTCACTTCCTTATGTTTGATTTTATAACTACCATAGTAACGTTAAAAGATAAGATTAAGTTTAAGGAAAAAGTGTTTTCAAGTGGTTTCATTCCCATGGTAACATTAAATTGAATAAATTTATTCTACATAGATCATATATTGTAGGTTAAATAATCTTTTTTGGCAAAGATAGTATAATATACAAAATTAAGTAGCAGTTAAAGTTTTTCATTTTTTGTTTCGATCAATAATGAAATAATATGTTCCACAGAATAACAATTTAGGACAGAAATTTTAGGAATCATTAGTAAATAACTTTCAATTGCAGTCTGTCCACTTGAATACCATGTTATACTCGTGTATAGGATGATTAACTATCAGTATGAACTCTCGAATTACTCAACTCATAACAAAGTCAGAAATTTAATAACTAGTAAACACTTCTTAGATAGATTAACTACTAAGTAGTTTATTATTTATTTATTTAGTTCTCAGTAATGATCTAATTTTATTAATTAGGTTACGATGTGGCCAACAGTCTAAACGATATCTGATCTAAGTTGAAATTCAGTGGTAATCACCACTTCTTTCAAGATTGTAAATATATTTTAAAAACAATTGTCAACTAGCATGAAATCGAAATTCAGGCTTTCTGCTTATTATCACTAAACAACTAAAGTGAACTTTACTGATTTGAGCAAACTGTTGGAAGTTTTTTATATTCGTCATTCAATGGAACTCATTATGTTATTTACTATCCTGGCTGATTTTTGTCAGTATGACCCGAATTCAGGAAATCGTAGTAAAAAAAAAAATTAAATGAGCATATCTGATATATGTCCGACTTAATAACAGTAATATAATATTTAAGCTGAATTCAGTCAATTCGTTTCAAATCATTGTCTTTCAGCTGAATTATGTAAACTAACAGCACGTCTTTCTATTCTAACATAGTAAAAGACACCTTGTAAAAGAAAACAGAGAATAATAGATTGATTGCCTCTCATAATTGTAATGATCTATTTTTGAGTATATAATTAATTCTGAACAAATGATGCATGAAATGATTAACAAATTAACTAATTCATAGTTCATTTGCTTATGTAAAGAGTGTTGCTTGTGTTTGTACATATATGAGATTGTACTTTTCCGAAGATACTAACCCATATCATTTAATTTGATAAATCAGAATAAAAGACAATTATGCGTACTAGATAAAATATAATTGACTGCATGTAGTTCTTTTAATAAAAATGCTTCACTTTCTATTACTTTTCTATCATAAAGGAAGAATCAATCTTCTTGGAAACTGTTGATTTCTCTTGAAGTCAAAGGCAGTTGGATTCATTTGTTTTGAAAATATGTGTAATTTCCGTCTCCTGCTTATTCTTAACGGACACCTATGTGATACTCTTAAATATAATTTCAATTTAAAAAATAATTCGCACATTACTAGATTATTTTAATTTAAAATAAAATCATCCTGACGACTGTAGTCACCTCAACGCATAGGTTGCCTAATATTACTTCACTGATTATCTTTTAGTCCTAATAAATCATTGTTATTATAAATTTTATATCTGTAAATAAGTTAGTGTCATTCGAAGTAATGGAAGCAGAAATATAAATGATTTTATATGATAAGACTCTAAAAATTATAAACTTTTTCAAAGTTTCACATGTGTTGTCAAAGGGTTTTGAAAAATTATCATCAGTTTTCTTAGTTTGGTTTTCTATCATACAACAAAGAAAGGTTAAGAGCGTTAGCTAAGATATATAAATAACTTTTACCAAAGGCACATCATATATATATATATGTCTGGTGGAAATCCCGTCCTTTTGACTGTGCACTCAATCATTATAGTAGTATTTCCAAATAATTACAGGTCAGTCAGTCAGCTACAACGTAGGACCAGGCACATTTATGCATCCGTCCAAGTT